TTAAAGAAAATGCATAGCAAAAAAAAGGGAAATATATTTCAAAGATGATAAATGCTTAGGATCCGTAAAATGTGAATTAGAAGAAACCATAAAAATGGAAAAGACCGTTTAGAGCAATCCTATAGCAGTTGATTAATGTTTCTTAATAGAAGCTCTTCTTGTGATGGTAGTAGCTTCCAGTTCCTGAATTTTCTGGTTTAGAATATGTCTTTTCACACATCTCAGTGTTGAAGGGCTCATTTTCCAATTTCTGTATTACCCAGGATCTCTTCTTCCCCCATTTCCCTTGCTAGTCTGATTTTACACACAGGATTTCCTGGAGAGACCAATAACATCAGTATTACCAGGAAACTTGTTAGAAATACACATTTCTGGACCCCACCCCAAACCTGCTGAGCCAGAAACCCTGGGGTGGGACCCAGCAGTCTGGGTGGTAACAAGGTGACCCAATGCCACTCAAATGTGAGAATCACTGCTAACCTTTCCAATCAGTAGAAAATCAGTAGAAAATATTAAATATCAAAAGATCTACTTTTGACTATTTGTTAGCAACTTCTGTCTTTTTTTAAAAGATGATGTAGAAGCCAAAGGAATGGACACTGAGTAATAATGTTGACTTTTCTGGGCCTTTAGTTGATCTGTCTACACCAAGGGAAATAGTAGGAGCTGTCCGTGATTACACAAAACTTTACTGGAAACAAAAATGCACAGCATGATCTGACAAGCCAGGTGTAGCACAGTCTTGCTAAAACCATGCTTAAAATTCTGAGTCAATAAAATAACAACAAAGAAAATGTCTTCCTCTTTGGAGTTAATCTCAGTATGACTCACCTGAAATCACATTTGTTACCTCGARGTGAACATCTGAAGAGCAGGGGAAAGATGATGATAAATTATATACTTTGCTAGTTAGATATAAAATATTTGCTATCCAAAGTTCAGATTCAGAGTTCACGAATTAAAAAGTAGAGCTCAAAGTTCTGCTTTTCTTGCTCGTTGAGATATGTTAAATTCACAACTCTGAAAAATATAATGATAGACTTAAATTGGCTGTTGAGTGAGACTGCTATAGGAATATATAAATGTCTGTGTCATTTATCAATTGTGCATTTAAGCTGGGATTTTCAAAACAAGTTATGCTGTTTATTCATAAAATAAGAAATTTTATAGAGACTATTTTTCCCACCCATCCACCCACCCCCTTAAAAAAAATAAGAGGAGAAAAGTTCAGTAGCTGAAGTTTGAATATAAAGCTGGTCCATCAGATTCATCAGAGTAATCATTGATCTACCCTGACTGCACTAGACCACTTGAATTCTTTGGGATATGTAAGTTGTTATGACTACAGAGATCCTGCCAAAACGTGCCAAAAACGTTGTGGCTACAGAGCTATGAAGGGCTAGATCTCTAGTCTATCAGTACAAACAGACAAATCAAGCTCTATGACCAGAGGACATAAACAAGTAGCATCCATTGCCTTCATCTCATTTTATTTTCATTATATTGTTTCAGCCAAAGTTGAAATCATTCTAAGAATGGAGGTAGGACTGAGGATGTAGCTCAGTGGTAGATTGCCTAGCAGGGGTGAGGCCCTGGGTCTAACCCATACTACTGCTGTGGAAGAAACAAAGAATGCACGGGTTGGGGGTGAGCCAAGGACCCCCAGGGTGGTGTCTTATTTGACCTTCTCTACAGCAAAAGAGAGAAACAAAGAATTTTAAAACATTCTGCCTGAAGTCATATCTAGTTGAATGGAAATAAGCCATAATAATGCCTTAAAATCCAAAGAGAACTTTAACCTACTTTGTATCCCTCTACATCTCATCTGTACTAAATAGGATATGTATTCATCAGAGATATTAAAGTTTAAGGGGTCACCTTATCTTGGAATCATGGGACCACAGAAGGACGCTTTAAGATCGTCTGCTTTATACCAAGGACTTCAGAAAGAGAATCTGAGCCAGGAGCAGCTGGCATCTAATGAGTCAGGAGTCCTCTTAGATTCTGCTTGTGAAACTCATCAAAGTGACTTCAGAACAGGACATCATTTCTAAAGTGCTGACCTGGAGAACAAAGAGCACATTGATTGATTGTGTTTTGCAGTGATATTTCACCTTCCTTCATGCCTCTGCCAAAAAAAAAGTTTTTTCTGACCAGCTGCCAGAAAGACCAGTTTCTACAAGATGCACAGGATCCGGTGGTAAAAACTTTAAAGAGAAAGGGAGAAAGGAGAAGCTTTATAAAATGGGGAATCTTTTGAAGGCTTTTCATCTAAAAACATATTTTTAGATACAGGCACTAAAAGCTTACTTTTCCTCTGTAGGTATATCCCATATGACATTTTTCTGTCACCAAGTTCCTTGTGAGAGAAAAAAGTCACTGAGTTCATGGTTGGGAGAAACCATAATATTCCATCTCATCCAGCCTCCCTTTCAATGCAGACAACTCTTTTACAACATTGGAGTGGGACGATCACTCAGTCTTAGAGAGGGCTGGGCCAGGGCTGTGTGGCTAGAGACCTTACCTAGCATGCACTGGGCTCCATCCCCCACTCAGCAAACAACAACTTACAGAGAGGAGATGTTGAAAAGGAAGTGCTAGAAACTGGGTGGAGAACAGAAAGTAGAGAGCATCTGCATGTCTGTTCACATTCCCTGCAATATGCGACCAGTTGGGAAATAAACATCATCACGATGTCTAACTGTCAGACCCAGGTTATTGTGGTAGTTTCCAATCAAAGAAGCTTGATCAAGCTTTCTTAACCTCAGCACTTTGCAGTGCCATTTGGAGCATTGTTGGGGGGCAGGGCTGTCCTGTGCATTTCAGGTCATTGAGCAGCATCTCTGGTTTCAACCCACTGGTAGCACTTGTCTCCCCTCTACCCAGTTTTGACAATGCACAATGTCTCCAGACATAACCTTGTGTCCACAGTGGTGGGGGGAAGAAGAGGGGGCAGCAGGGCAAAATCACCCTCGGTTTTGAACTACTTGTTGAAATAATAAAAAAAAAAAAAACCATATCCTGTGAGATTCAGGATCCAAATGGTTTACTATTGAAAGAAGTAGCTAAGTCATTATTTCCTCAGTCAGAAAACATAGTTTTACAACTGACAAAACATTAGTGTGACTCTCATGGATTTTTTTTTCGTGCAAGTGTGGAGCAAATATTTGAGTTCTGAGTTCCTCATGCCTTATTAAGTGTGTGAAAATAGGCTACTGCAGTAGGTGTCACTAAAATGCAAATAGCAGAACCATTTACCTAGACTCCAAGACACTCTCAATTTTCAGGTGCACATCCATTTTTAACTTTTTAGTGAAACGTACATGCAGAAAAGTGCACATAGGAAAACATGTGCTGTATCCTCAACAAACTGAAAACGTCCTGTAACCACATTGAAACAGATTGCCAGCACCCGTTGGCCTTCTGGTACTCCCTTCAGACTCTGCCCACCCCCATGGGTGGCCAGTGTCTTGATTTCCAATGGCATAAATTAGCCTTTTCTGCTTTACACTGGCTTCTTAAATATACACCCACTTGACGGAGATCTTCTGTGCATTCCATTTCCTTAACGAAAACTCACTGACCTCTCCCCCATTTTTACCTCCAGCTGAAACCTCGTTCTAAGGTCCATACTCGTTACTGATAGGCTATTTACACAGAATGTAAAAACAGCTCTTGCGTCCTGTAACATTCCTCCCTTAATGCCATCCCTCTGTCCATCCCTACTGATGCCTCCCCATTTTTTCTCATCTCTGGAAACTTCACTTACTCAATAGGAAGTCAAAATTCTAAAGGTCATCTTGACTCCCTCTCCCTCAGGCAGTCCATCCACAGGTTCTGTTGCATCTGCCTCCAAAGTATACATGGAAGGTCTCTACTTCCTACCAATCTTTACTGCAACCCCCAGGGTTCAAACTAGGGTTGTCTGTTGCCTCAACTACTGCAGGGACTATGGTGTGGTCTCCATGCATTTGTTCTTGTCTCCTTATGGTCCATTCTCCATACAACATCTGGAAAGAGCTTTTCCAAACATAAACTTGAGTTCTGTCATTCTAAGCTGAGAAGCTCTCTATGAAAAAAAAATCCAAAGTCTTCTTCATGACCAGGATCTGACTTTTCCCTCTAACATCACCTTCACAGAGATACTCCATCAACACCAACCGTGACCACACCAAAGCCATTCCCACCACTGGGCCTGGTAATCCTTTGGCAGGACTTGCCCTGATGATCCCTCATTGTATTCAGGTTGCACTAGGCGAAAGCAATGCCTTCTAAGAATCTGCCCACACTTCTAAATCACTCTACCATCCTGACCCTGTTTTGATTTTCTTTTTGGCTCTTACACAACCCACTTTTGTCTGTATATAAGAATGTAAGAATCTAATGGGTAAGAACATTGTTTTTAGAGGCTCAGAAAATTGAGGATATGAATAAGGCCACATTTCAGAAATGTTAACATATAAGACTTAGAATTGAGGAAATGCTATCATAAATTCTATTTACTGAGTCTCAGTCACTGCAGTAGTTAAACTTGATGTGATATTTCTTTAATTTGCACCACAACTCTGCAAAATAGATGTGTCGGTTAGTTGCTTTCAAATGCAAATAACAAAACCTAATCCAAAGTAGGCTAAACAAAAAGAATTAATATCACATAGAGATAGGCTGGCTCTCTAGGTTTGATCAACTCTCTAACTCAGTAATATCACTATTTCAATTTGGCTGATCTACCATTTTGTTAGCTTTCCCCTCGTGGTCACAGGATGGCGATAACCATTCCACATGCCACTTCCTTGCTCAGCCATCTCCTGGGTGCTTAAAAAGGGACACTGTGTGAATGCTTCTCTTCCTATCTTCAAGGAGAGTCTTTGCAGATCCCTCATTGACCCAATTCTCTTACACATTTCTGCCTAAACCAACCACTGTCAGAGCGACCATGTTCTGTCTTGCACCAGTCATTACTCATGAACCAGGCAGGGTCTACCTGACACCTGAACAAAATGGGGTTCTGCAACACTGAGGATAAGAAGAAATGGCAGGTAGCTAGACCACCAAAAACATCTGCCACCATATGTATCCTGTATTCTCATGGTATTCTCAGCAACTCATCTGGCAAAAAAATAAGACTAGAACCTAGCTGTGACTGTTTCCAAAGCCATGCATTTTTCATCAGATAATACCGCTTCTCAAAAATAATTAAAGCAGAATGTGTGATAGTAATAACAAAGGTAAGAAAATCTCTTACCTTTACTGATCTTCCCTAGAAAAGTGGCTGAGGAGGCTGGAAACCATGTTGTAATGTATAAGCTACACCTGTGTCCAGGTCTTGGGCTTTTAAATGTCATTCTCCAATTTCAGAAGCCAGGACTCCCTGGAAAAAAAAAATAGCTGATTCTTAGGCAGGAATGAAGAAAACACAAGAGGAACCTGGAGCATCTAGTTCTGGAAAGTAAAGAAGCACTCAAATCCAAAAGATGGGAACTTGTCAGGAGCATGGAATCCAACCTGTGAGATATTTCAGTGGCCAAAGCTAGAACTATTTAAAGAACAGAATAAATAAAATAGTATTGACTTGTAACCCACAGAATAAAATAAATATATGAATCCAAACAGATATAAATGATTGAATAAATAGGAGAGGGGAAAAAAAGACAAATGCTTTTCACCAGAGAATTACCAATATGTGTAGATGGCCCCCATCTGAGAAGGAACTGACTGACATGCGGATGGGAAAAGACAAACCAGACTGAGAAAACCCAAGTCAAGGACACATTCCAATGAATTAACACAGAAGTGAAAGGTGGGGGCCTGAATGCAATAAATAGAGACAGTTATTTCAATTTGGAATGGTGGTCAGGGAGGGGTGTGGGTCCGTAGGTTACATGTTAGCAGAAATAGAGAGGGATCTGCTTTAGAATAAGAAAGACCTAATTGTGCTTGGCTAGCCAGTGGGAAATGAAGATGAAAGGTCAGTGGAAGGACCAGTTTCATGATAAATGTGGTAGAGCAAGAGTTGAAAGCAAAGCACACAAATGCTGGTTAACCTTGGAAAGGAGCCAGGACACTTCTCCTTGGGGAAAGAGGGAAGGAAAAGCTGATTAAAGATACAGTGTCCATCAAATTAAATGTGAGACCATTGTGTAAAAGCAAGTGGGTACAGAAGTGTGGTCTGAACAATCGGGGTTGGGGTTCTGAGGTTTGGAATGCTATGACAGGATACAATAAGAGGGAGACAAAGCCAAGGTGACTACATAATTTGAATTCTGGACACACTATTGTGGATGAACGGATGCTAACAGATGGTTGCCTGCACAACATATATCAGCTTGTACTCTCCTGGGCAAACTGTAAACACCCTAGAAGGAGCCACCACATTTATAGCTACTCTAATTCATATGAGGATTCCTTTGGGCCACCACAGCCTTCTCTCTGCAGTGTTGCCCGGACAGTATGAGAATAGTAGAGAACCAGAAACAATGTGAGGCAAGAATGTCAAAGACTCCCTGGCTATCATCCACATCTTTAGAATTGCAGTCTGCTGGTCTGAGTGATAGAAATGTTCTCCATCTGCCCCGTCCAAATGGTAGCCATTAGCTTGTGTGGCTATTGAGCCACTGAACTGCAGTTTTGAATAATTTCAGTTTAAATATAAATAGCCACATGTGGATACCATATTAGTGCTCATTTCGATGAAGCCAGGAGACAATGACTACCTGCAGGCCATTAATAGATTAAAAAGAAAGGACAGCAAAATTCGAAAAGCAGAATAGGAGTTTATGGGGCAGATTGGAAAGAAACAACTGTATTTAGAATAGTACAATGTTGTGATGATGAAATCCAAATTGTAATACTACTTGCGAAGAATTAAAGAAAGGAGTTGGTGGAGTGTTGAAGAAGTCAACCCGGCTAGGGGTGTGTATGTGCCCCAGGGGATACTTGAGAGGTTCACCTCATCCCGAAGGGCTCGAGGAAAAGTAAGTGGATCCCAGAGAACATAAAAACCAGGGTGAGAAGAAAAGAACCAAGGTATGGCTAAAATTTTACAAGGCCTATTATTTTGTTTGTTTTTGAAGATTCCAGGCATTTTCTGGAATGGGCAGTGTGGCTCAAGGAGAAGGCAGATTCCTCCCTCTGGCCCTCGTCATTGAGGAAGGGCAAAGGGAAGATTCAATGTCATTTCATTTTGACTAAGGATGGCAATGGTGGTTAAACTTCTGTTTTCATGTCTAATTTTATTTTACAGATCTGCTTTAACTTTGGAAATGGACTTCACTTTGAGGTAAGGAACCAAGGGGTTATTTCTATCTCTGGGACTCAGAGGCTTTACTTCATAGTGGACAGTTTGGCTGTGTTGTAACTAGATTAAAACCCATGCTGCCTTACACATGGCTGTTCTCAAACAAATAAGTGCCAATCAGTGCTGGGGAACATAGATCGTTTAATAGGGAAGGACTTTTATCCACGTGTGCATACATACACACCTGTGTTCTCAGAAAAGATATACTTTATGCTGTTAACAATGGGTATTCTGTGAAAATGAGTGAAAAGATAAGAGGAAATGTGATATTTTTTGCATCATAAGTTTTTTATAATTTTTAAATTTTATTTATTCTTATTAGTTATATATGATAGCAGAAGGCAACTCAATTTATATTACACAAATAGAGCACAATTTTTCATGTCTCTGGTTGAACACAGAGTCACACCATTCGTGTACTTAGGGTAATGATGTCCATCTCATTTCACTATCTTTCCTACCCTCATGCCCCCTCCCTTACCCTCCTCCTCTTTGCCCTATCTAAAGTTCATCTATTCCTCCCACACTCCCCCCCATTATGAACCAGCATTCTTCTATCAGAGAAGACATTGGCATTTGTTTTTTTGGAATTGGCTTATTTCACTTAGCATTATATTCTCCAACTAACTCCATCCATTTACCTGCAAATGCCATGATTTTAATCTCTTTTAATGCTGAGTAATATTCCATTGTGTATATATACCACATTTTCTTTATCCATTCATCTACTGAAGGGTATCTAGGTTGGATCCACAATTTAGCTATTGTGAATTGTGCTGCTATCAACATTGATGTGGCTGTCCCTGTAGTATGCTGTTTTTAAGTCTTTTGGGCATAGACTGGAGAGTGGAATAACTGGGTCAAATGGTGGTTCCATTCCCAATTTTCCAAGGAATCTCTATACTGCTTTCCAGATTGACTGCACCAATTTGCAGTCCCACCAGTAATGTAAGTGTGTGTGCTTGTCCCCACATTCTCGCCAATACTTATTATTGTACGTATTCTGAATAGCTGCCATTCTGACTGGAGTGAGATAGAATCTTAAGAGTAGTATAGATTTGCATTTCTCTAAATGCTAGAGGTGTTGAAGATTTTTTCATATATTTGTTGACTGATTGCATATCATCTTCTGAGAAGTGTCTGTTCAGTTCCTTGACCCATTTATTGATTGGATTATTATTATTTTTCGTTGGTGTTAAGATTTTTGAGTACTTTATGTATCCTAGAGATTAATGCTTTATCTGATGTGCGTGTGGTAAAAATTTGTTCCCATTCTGTAAGCTCTCTATTCACTTCACTGATTGTTTCTTTTGCTGAGAAGAATCTTTTGAGTTTGAATCCATCCCATTTCTTGATTCTTTGATTTTAATTCTTGTGCTATAGGAGTCTTATTAAAGAAGTCGGGGCTTAATCTGATATGATGGAGGTTTGGCCTACTTTATCTTCTATTAGGTTCCGGGTCTCTGATTTAATTCCTAGGTCCTTGATCCACGTTGCATTGAATTTTGTGCATGGTAAGAGATAGGGGTTTAATTTCATTTTGTTGCATGTGGATTTTCAGTTTTCCCAACACCATCTTTTCTCCAATGTATGTTTTTGGCGCCTTTGTCTAATATAAGATAACTATAATTATGTGGGTTTGTCTCTATGCCCTCTATCCTGTACCATTGGTCTACAAGTCCATTTTGGTGCCAATACCATGCCATTTTTTTGTTACTGTTGCTCTGTAGTATAATTTAAGGTCTGGTATAGCGATGCTGCCTGCTTCACTGTTCTTGCTAAGGATTGCTTTAGCTATTCTGGGTCTCTTATTTTTCCAGATAAATTTCATGATTGCTTTTTCTATTTCTATGAGGAATGTCATTGGGATTTTGATTGGAATTGTATTAAATCTTCATAGTGCTTTTAGTAGTATGGTCATTTGACAATATCAATTCTGCCTATCCAAGAACAAGGGAGATCTTTCCATCTTCTAAGGTCTTCTTTAATTTCTTTCTTTAGCATTCTGTAGTTTTCATTGTAGAGGTCTTTTACTTCTTTTGTTAAGTTGATTCCCAAGTATTTTTTTTTTTTGAGGCAATTGTAAATGGGGTAGTTTTCCTTATTTCCCTTTCAGAGGATTTGTCACTGATATACAGAAATTCTTTGATTTATGGGTGTTGATTTTATGTCCTGCTAATTTGCTGAATTCATTAATTAGATCTAGAAGTTTCCTGGTGGAATTTTTTGGGTTTTCTAGGTATAGAATCATATCATCAGCAAATAGTGCTAATTTGAGTTCTTCTTTTCCTATCTGTATCCCTTTAATTTCTTTCATTTGTCTAATTGCTCTGACTAGTGTTTCAAGAACTATGTTAAATGGAAGTGGTGAAAGAGGGCATCCCTGTCTTGTTCCAGTGTTTAGAGGGAATGCTTTCAATTTGTTTCCACTTAAAATGATGTTGGCCTGGGGCTTAGCATAGATAGCTTTTACAATGTTGAGATAAGTACCTGTTATCCCTAGTTTTCTAGTATTTTGAACATGAAGGGGTTCTGTATTTTGTCAAATGCTTTTTCTGCATCTATTGAGATGATCATATGATTCTTATTTTTAAGTCTATTGATGTGATGAATTACCTTGCATCCCTGACATGAACCTTACTTGATCGTGGTGCACTATCTTCTTGATATGTTTTTGTATTCAATTTGCCAGAATTTTGTTGAGAATTTTTAACAGACCAATATCTCTAATAAACATACATGCATCATAAGTTTTAACATAATTTCTAATTCTTCTTATATAATTTATATATGTTTAAATTAAGAAAAAGGTTTTTACATGAAAGCATATAAAAATCAATGATAACCAGTGGGTTTTGAAGCAAAAAAAAAAAAAAATACATGTTTAAGTACAGCAACAAACTTAGTAAATGGTAAAATAATCCTAGTGTAATAATCATTTCTGATCTTAAGATAAAATGTCATCTATATTAAACTTTTCCTTCATAAAATACATACTTACCTATAAAAGCGTACTGAAAATTTGTATAATAGTTTTCTACCTAAAGCTATAAAAACAAGAGACAGGAAATTTACTCCTTCACCCAGTCCTGATAACAAATTCATTAACTGGCAGTTGTACCAGTTTTGTTCACATTTATATAAACAGTTTACAAACATTTTGTCTTAAAGCATAGTAGTAATTTATTTTCAAGCCATAAACCATCAAGGAAAAGTGAAACTTCATTTTTAGCTAATAAGAAAAAAACTTTTCTGGACATGGTCTGTTATTCTAACTTGTCAATTTGTAAGTTAAGGCCACTAATTTATTCTTCAGGCCTTTTGAATTGGTCACTCTAGGAAATTTTTCTCCCCCTCCCCCTCTTCTTCTTTCTTCTTCTTCTTCTTCTTCTCCTTCTCCTTCTCCTTCTCCTTCTCCTTCTCCTTCTCCTTCTCCTTCTCCTTCTCCTTCTCCTTCTTCTTCTTCTTCTTCCTTAATGTAAAAAACAAAACTCTTTGCTTTATGGGTTTGGAGATAATCTCTTGACCACCTGTAAGAGATTATTAGAATACATACATTCCTCTTTGAAAAATGAAGCTTGGTAAGAAATGCAAAATCTACCTTAGAATTTGCACTATTTTTAAACTTTAGTAAACTATAGAATTTCATACAAATGCTTGATTATATGTAATAATTTTTTGGCAATGTTTTATTATTGTAGGCCTTAAACACCAGAAATGAAAATCAGCTGCTTCCTAAACATACTCACCTCGTACGGCAAAAGCGGGCCTGGATCACCGCCCCTGTGGCTCTGAGGGAAGGAGAGGATCTGTCCAAAAAGAATCCAATTGCCAAGGTATCTTCTAAAGAAGAATATGAAACACACACCTCTGATTAAAACTGTGGTGGAAGAGGATTTTTATGTCCAATTTAAAATTTAAGGACGATTATGTAATTACTGAATTTCTTAATATTCAGTATATATTTGAAAATTAGCAGAGCTTAAAAAAAGAGAGAAAATTAGCAGAGCTGACTTTCAGCAGCAAGTACCAACTTTGAGATGTTCTTTCTCTTTCTGAAAGATGCAACATCATTGGCAAAAAATATCACTTTAAGTTTTGATTCAACTAGGAGTTGAGACATCTGGCAGTAATATAATTGTAATTTAACACAGCATTGCAATACTCCAAAGAGGGTATTATGGTAAAAAGTAGTTTATGATAGTAGTGGAARGAACTGAGGTCTGAGAGGGAGGGTGACTGTACATCCTGATTCGTGCCTGTCGTCCTAGCTTAATAAATAGTAGCTCCCTTTTTACTCTCAAATGGTCCAATTTTTAAAATAAAATATGTGATAATCCTCCTACAAATGCACCTCATAGTTAGCTGTACAAACTTAAACCCTTGTTGTTTTGCTCCCCTAAAGCTGCTCTCCTAAAGTTATACCCATTTATGTAAATGGCACCATAATTCCATGCAGTTTTTAAACGCTAGTATGTAGCAAGTACTATCACTTCTACCCAAAAAACTCTGTGCACTTCTCTTCAACTCCATTCCCATAGTCTGAGGCCTTGTTATCTCCATCCCTCGTAACAAAAAGTGTTCCCACTTGTCCTGCTGCTCTGACTCTTGCCAAGCCCTCCCACACAGCCCATGCTCCAGAAGTTGGCCAGAGCAAACCTTTGAAAAGACAAAGCATGTTCACCTCCTTGATGAGACCTTTAAGTGACTTCCCAGGGCAATGGAAAAAATAACCCTCTTGCCCCCATGTGATTGATTGCTTCGCCTACGCCACCTCTCTGTTCCCTCCCCAGTTCCAATCACTTCCCATTCCCTACTCTGCTACATCCTCCTTAAAGTAACCACAAGCTCATTCCAGTCCACCGCTCTGCAAGGCTGTTCACTCTGCCTGGAATCTGATCCCCACAGACAATTTGCAAGATTAGCGTGTATCAGGCCTTCTCTGTACAGTGTCACCTCCTTCTGCCCTGCCCCACTTTTTCTCTGTCCTCTTAACCTGTATCATGTTGGCTGATAGCATATTTCACTGCTGAATCAAACATTACTTGCTTCATCGTTTGTCTCCTTCAGTACAGTGTAAGCTCTACGAAGGTTTGGCTTAGTCCTTAGAGCTCCCGAGTCCTGCCTGTGCCCTGACCAACGCCTGTGTGCGATGGGTGCTCAGTAAGCATTCATGTGAATGTATACGTTCAAATCCAGGTTTTACCTTCATCTTTCCAATCTCATAAAGATCATATGTGAAGAGCTTTTTCAAGAGAAACTATGACTATGAAATAGAAGATAAAGTTTCCTGTCTTCTAGCAACATTTTTTTAAATATAAAAGAATATAAAAGTCCCCCACCTTTATATATATATATATATACATACATACTGGGGATTGAACCGGGGCACTGTACCGCTGAATTATTTCTCAGTCCTTTTAAAATTTTTTATTTTGAGATAGGATCTCACTAATTTACTAAGGCTGGCCTCAAACTTGCTATCCTCCTGCCCTCAGCCTCCTTAGTCACTGAATTACAGGCATAACCCACCAAGCTTTGCTTAAAATCTGGAGAGTTTCAAGTATGGCTCCACATAACAGTACATATACAAGCAACTTCATTTTTTGTTTTATTTTGGCTTGCTTTTTTGAGATCTCAGTAATTCATACAATCTTTCAGTAGATTTTCCTAAAATAAGGAAGAACATCGTGGCAGAAGAGTGTGGTACAGGAAAGCAGCTCAGAATATCATACCTGAAAGCAAAAGAGAGCCCTACTCAACAAGGACAAAATATATACCCCAAAGGCATTCCCCCAATGACCTGCCTCCTCCGGCCCCATTCTACCTGCCTATAGTTACCACCCAGTTAATATCTGTCAGGGAATTAATGCACTGATTTGGTTAAAAAGTTCCACAACCCAATCATTTCATCTCTAAATTTTCTTACATTGTCTCACACATGAGCTTTTGGGGAACACCTCATACATAAACCATAACACGTACATATATATATGCAATAAACTCTTAGTTGCATACATATGTATATACAAACCAACAGTTCTGTCCACACGACTTTTGTTTTATTTTTAACCTAAGTAGGATTATATAATACATACAAGTAGTCTGCAAAGACATAGAATATCCTTATAAATACTATAACGTAAATTTAAATGCACATACATAAGTGTATCTGTATATTGTGTATGGGCATGCATTTGGCAAAAGGACAGGCAGAAGCTCAGTGAAAAATGATCATGTGACTGCTCTAGATTTACCATCGCACTCCAGGAGCTGAGCTGCTGTAGCAGGAGGTTGGAGGACCCATCTACTATCTTTTGGTTTCTCCCAGCTGAAACCCCAACAACCCCAGTGCATTGTTGGGAAGCCTAAGGGAAGAAAGACTAACTAATTCTGAAGTTTCATAATAGTGAACTGGCCAGGCAGGTAGGTGGTAGTGATGCCTTTAGTGATATGTGAAGGGAGAAAATGAAGAACCATTAGGGGACCCCAGAGAAGCATCTAAAGATACAAATGAAATTGCCTTGTAGAGGATCTCAAGATGGTAACTACAGAATATCTAGCAGATTAGAAACATGATGTGCTGAGGCATTCTAAGTAGGGAAGCACTTGATGGTTTTAATCCCTCTTGGGAATGATTTTCAGATAATCGAATAGATTAATGAGAGTGATTTTGACTGTGCGATTTTTACCATATGTGCCAAATTTAAAATCTATTTCCTCCCCCTGCTTAGATGCACACAGCTATGTCTTAATTTCACAATCACCTAAAAAAGGAAACACTCAGATGTTTTCCAGTTAAAGGATAAGAAAACTGAGATACAGGGAGGTTAAGTAGCTAACTCAGTGTCACAGAACTCAGCTGCAGCCAAGATAGAATCAGAACCCAGGTTCCCTGATGCCAGTGCCTGTTCTGGCCATGTCCCTCTTTCAACTTCAAACCTAAGTAGGATTAGGTTCTGTTTGACAACTTCAAACAGAAATTGTGCACTGATTTACAATGTAAACTACAAAGAATTTAACTTGAGACACTCATCTCTTATTTTTATGTTAGATCCATTCTGATATTGCAGAAGAAAGAGGACTAAAAATTACTTACAGATACACTGGAAAAGGGATCACAGAGCCACCATTTGGTATATTTGTCTTTAATCCAAGCACTGGAGAACTGAATGTTACTAGCATTCTTGATCGAGAAGAAACACCATATTTTCTGGTAAGTAGAACAATTTTATTGGTAGTATTTTTTTTTTTGGTAATACTTATGATTTAATTTTTGATGCTATAGCAACCCAATTACGTTAGCTTAAAACTAATTTCATTATTTATGTCACGATTTCAGCTAATGGGTTATGCTTTGGATGAAAAAGGAAACAATCTTGAGAAACCTTTAGAACTCCGCATTAAGGTTCTTGATATCAATGACAATGAGCCAGTGTTCACACAGGAAGTCTTCACGGGGTCCGTTGAAGAGTTGAGTGCAGCACGTAAGAGTCTATTATTTTTCATGAATGCCATTTAATTTCCATTGTGTAAATAAACACTAAAATCCATATTGTAACAGAAGTTGAGTGTTACCCACAGGACATTCATCCTTATTTCCTCATTCAAGTAAATTTTTGATTGTGGTAAACTGTGCTTTCTTTTTTTTTTTGAGCAGGGATTGAACTCAGAGGCACTTAACCACTCAGCCACATCCATTTTTAGAGACAGAGACAGGCTCTCTCACTAAGTTGCTTAGTGCCTCGCTAAGTTGCTGAGATCCCTTTGAACTTGGGATTCTTATACCTCCACCTCCCAGTCACTGGGATTACAGGAATGCACCATCACACCTGGCTTAAACTGTGGTTTTGACAAATACCTGAAATCCTTTTAGAAACAAACTGAAATTAAAAATAATATAATGTCACACGTAAGTGGACTTACCCTGGTCATCTTGATTTCTAATGCTAGATACACTTGTGATGAAAATCACCGCAATAGACGCAGATGAGCCCAATACCATGAATTCTAAGGTTTCCTACAGAATCGTATCTCAGGAGCCTGCATATCCTCCAGTGTTCTACCTAAATAAAGATACGGGAGAGATTTATACAACCAGTATGACATTGGACAGAGAGGTAAATTAAACTTTCATGTTGTTCATCTTTTAAACTCCTTATTATCTTTTCCAGTTGCTCCTCTCTGTGTTTCTTTGAATTTTCTTAGTTCGTTCAATATTCCTCAGTCATAGGATAACTAAGAATCATCCTTTTTTAGGGATACACTGCCCATTCTGGTAGATATTAGCTATATGAGTCTCTTGAGCATTTGAAATGTGACTAGTCCAAATTGAGATGTGCTGTATGCCTATTGAGATATATTTTTTAAAAGCACCAGAAATGGAGGACTTCACATTAAAATATATGTATATAAAATACCAGCTTAATTTTTTAATGTTTGAGTTTATGTTGAAATGATAATTTCATAAAGACAACACCATTCTAATACCTCTCCAGTTAGAAATCCATTTCCTAGAGTCCTGACACAGCATTCCCAGTTGGCGGGTTCTCTAATGAACTGTAGGGATCAGGGTGGTGAGGGCAAGGGGCTGGAGACAGGAGTCCTGGCTAGGGAATAAAAATCCTTATAAAGGAGAAAATTATTTTAAATCCCAAATTAAAGAGAAATTTGAGTCGTTTACCTAGACTGTCCTCTCAACAATTTTTCATTCTTTTAATTTCTAACTCAAAATTTTAAATTAAAGGGGAAAATAGAAGATTTTTTCAGATGCTACGTGCACAAAGATCCTAATATATAAGAATAAAATGTTGGTGAATACTGTTTTGTCTTCAAATATAAATCATCATCCAAGTGTATGGTATTGTACTTGGAAAATTAACTTTGCTCAGATGGGAAGGATTGTTGCCAACTTGCCATCCGGATCTTTGTAAAATTTAAGAATCTGATCATTCCTAACATTCTGCTCTACACCTGTTCTCATAAAACTAGAGAGGAAAAGTATTACTCTGAATTAGTGGTGTGATTTGTAATCAGCTACCGTTTCTGAGGTATGGAAAGTTTAGCCAAGATTAAGAGCCATAATTTATTGGGTAGTAACCATGGCCAGGTAATATCCTAAGCCCTTTACATGGATTAACTCATTTAATCCATATGGAAACCTCTGAGGCAGATCCAGTTATTATCCCCATAAGAAAACTGAGAATCACAGGGATTAAGTGTGTGTCCAGCACAGCTAGTAAATGACAAAGCCAGAATTAGAGGCCAGGTGGCTCGTCCAGAGCCCCAACTGTCCTTCATTCACTGAGTGGTTCTGCCCCATGTAGGACCTCTGTGTACTGGCAGTGGCCGCCAAACTTCTTAAATCCAGCCACACAGAATGTAGCTACAGTAAGGGGACCACACACGGAAGAGAAGTTTCCTTTTTGAATGACAGTCATTCTCTAGGACACAGTCCCTAAGAATCCTATTCCTGAGGAAGGCAGGATAAAGATCTCCAAGTTTTGTCCTCACGGGCTAAGTTTTTCTTGGGACTAAGTTCTTCTGGGTTACCTTTTAGCTAAGAATGATGTATAGGGTAGGAAACAAAACATTTCATACAATCCCACCACGTCTTCCATTGCAGAATGAACTGTATTTTGAACAGCATCCCTTTAGTATAGATGGGTTTAAAAACAGAATTTTCTGAGAATATCACCAATGGCAATATTTGCTGGTCCTCTTCTGCCCTTTCTCCAAAGCTCTTGACTACAAACAAATAACATAGAAACAACAGATCATGAAACTTATTTATGAGTAAAGTATACTATGGTTCGTTTCCCAATGGTGATGTGAACTAAAACCAGAAGGGAAGATTGGGAACAATTCATTTTCACCCCAGTTGCATATCTTTTATTTCTCTGCAGGAACACAGCAGCTACTCTTTGACAGTAGAAGCAAGAGATGGCAATGGACAAATAACAGACAAACCAGTCAAACAAGCTCAAGTTCAGATTCGTATTTTGGATGTCAATGACAATATCCCTGTAACGGAAAATGAAATGGTAACTTATTTTTATAATAAATGTATCTATTTATTCATATTTTGGCCCCAACTAAAATATATATCAACTTGTTTGTATTATATCAGAATAAAAATTACATGTTCTTATTTTGCAGTACGAAGGAACGATTGAAGAAAATCAAGTCAATGTAGAAGTCATGCGCATAAAAGTGACCGATGCAGATGAAATAGGTTCTGATAATTGGTTAGCAAATTTTACATTTGCGTCAGGAAACGAAGGGGGTTATTTCCACATAGAAACTGATGCCCAGACCAATGAAGGCGTTGTGACCCTTATTAAGGTAAGTCATGAGTGTTCAAAACTAGGGTGGAACAAGTTGCTGCTGGAGAGAATCTAGCATATTTTGAGCTCTAAGCACAAAAACTTTACATGCACCGCCAGCACCACCTTTGTTTAAGATAGTGGCCATACCTGCTTGCCCAAGTTGTGTGGTCAGCAATTGTTTGCACTACAGTTCAGATTCAGATCAGGGGACTCTGATCCTAGCCAGACAGCATGAGATCAGCGCCATCACTGCCTAGACCACTTCCTGTCATGCCCGACAGCATTCCCACACCATGACCTTGTGCCTCTGCTGAGTATCCCTTCACTTACCACCTCTCAGTCTATTTATCTAACAGTAGAGCCAACCCTCACTAATAAGATCCAAAAATAAAAGCTATGATAACTTGACACTTAAGTGTGACAAAGAAACACCTCGTAAAGCTACATGCCAACAGTGATGATTCCTGGGTGTCATTATCACAAATCCTAACTGGATGGGACTCAGCATCTTTCCTTTTAAACAAAAATCTACTTGTATTCTAATATTAATACTGCAGGGGCTACATTTTGGAACAAATCTCTTGTGCATTGAATCAATGAAGAAAAATTGAATCCAATCATTAAGCGTATGTAGGGTCTTACACATTTAGTTCTTATAGCTCCCACTTTTTAAACAAAAATTACAAGATGGATGTAACAAAATAAGCAAGGAACGATATTAATGTACTTGTAAGTGGTTTATGATAGAATTGCCTTGCCAGATTTTAAAATGAAATGCAAAACTGCAGCTTTAAAAATATTATTTCGTTAAGTTATAGGCAGACAAAGATTGATTCCAGAAGTTTCTAAATTTTTATAAAAATCAATATATGACAGTCTAGGTAAAATCTAACAGTGGRAAAATCAATAACAGAGTAGAAAATAATTGAGGTTTCATAGTAATAATGATGAGCCCCACTAATCAGTAGACTAATGTATGCATTTAAACTACCTCTTTAAAAGCAGAAGACAATTGAATACATTTCCTCATTTTTAAAAGGAAGACACATTTTATGATTATGGAAGAAATTATCATCAGAGATAAAAATTCACCTGCTTATGTGAAAATAGCATAATTTTTAGTTATCAATTATACGTTCAACTATGCCTGATGTTTGAGATAAAGTCAACAACATACACAGAAGCAATCGTATGCTGGTGAATGAAGAGGGTGCTGGAAATATTCTCAACCCACTCTTCCAAGGGGAGTGTGGATGAAAAGTAGTAAAATCAGCATTACAATGAAAGCAACAGTTGGAGAGAATTACAAATTTGTTATCTCAGCTATATAAAGCAGTTGCTTCCAGGGGCTGGGATTATGGCTCAGTGGTAGAGCACTTGTCTCACACATGTGAGGCACTGGGTTGGATCTTCAGAACAACATAAAAATAAATAAATTTCTTTTAAATAGTTGCTTACAAATTATAAAGGCAGTAATCAGATTTTATCAAAAAGAAATGAGATCAAGAAGATACACAGAGGACTGGGATTGTGGCTCAGTGGTAGAGAGCTTGCCTAGCATGTATGAGGCATTGGGTTTGATTCTCAGCACTGCATATAAATAAATGAATAAAATAAAGGTCTATTAACAACTAAAAAGAAAAGTTTAAAAAAAAAGAAGATGCACAGAAATACGCATTTGAAAAGGTACTGAATATCATTAACCATTATGAAAAATGCAAGTTGTGGCTGGAGTTGTGGCTCAGTGGTAGAGTGCTCACCTAGCACAAGCAAGGCGTTGGGTTTGATCCTCAGCACCACATAAAAATAAATTAAAAAGTAAAGGTATTGTGTCCAACTACAACTAAACTGAAAAAATATTTTTAAAAAAATCTATAAGAAATAGTCATCATACACTTACTAAAATGGCTAAAATCAACTGTCTTTGGATGGCTATAACAAAGTATCATCAACTTCGTAGCCTATAAACAGTGCCCGGCAAAGGCCCTATTTCTAGCTTATACATGGCACCTTTCTGCTGTATCCTCATGTGGCAGAAGAGGCCTGCAAGATCCCAGAGGCCTCTTTTATAAGGGAGTTCATCTCATTCACAAACATTCCTAAGACCTCACTAAAGCCCCATCTCTCAATATCATCACTATGGGGGATAGGATTTCAGTCTATGAATTCTATGGGCATGCAAATATTCAAACCACAGCAATCAAAAAGTCTGACAACACCAAGTATTGGAAGAATATAGAGAAAGTAGAACCTTTATATATTGCTGGTGGAAATATAAAATGACAGTTTGGTAGGTCTTTTTTTTTTTTTTTAAGTTAAACATACAGTAGTTACCCTATGACCCAGCAATCTTATTCCTAGGTATTAATTCACCCTAGATAAATAAAAACGTGTCTATACAAAGGCTTTTGTGCAAAATGTTCCTAACCACATAATAATCTGGGAGCGGTCCAAATAGCCATCAACTGGTGAGCAGAAAAATAAAATGTAGTATATCCATATAATGGAACATTATTGAATAAAAGGACTGAAGTACTGATACATGCTACAACATGGATGAATCTCAAAAACATTATGTTATTCAGAAACCARGTACAAAATACTATTCTATGATGACATCATATCCTATGATGTCATTTATGAGAGATTTCTAGAAAAGGCAAAACGAGAGAGAAAGCAGATCAGGGATTGCATAGGGCCGGGGATATAAGGGAGGCATAAAGGAACTTTTTGTAATGATGGAAATGTTTAAAATTAGATCATAATGATGATGACAAATACTAAAAAACATCATGTTGTAAACTTAGGGTGAGTTTTATTGTCTGTAAACTATACCCGAATAAAACTGAAAAAAAAGGTAGAGGAGATAAACAGTATAAGAGAGATAATAAATCATTACATGAGAAAATGTGCACAGCTTTACCAACAAATTAAACCCATAATGTTATTGGAAAATAGCAAAATTGGAAATGATAAAATATGTTGATAGAGTTGTAAAAAACAGAGGCATTTGGCCTCATACATTGCTCATGATGTCGAAAATTTCCTTCATTCTCTTTGGAGCATTACAGCTATTTAGGACAAACACCATGTAACAGTTTTTATGTCCCCAGTGCCTAGCCCACTTTTTTACACTGTCTTGGCTCTTGAATACTAATAATAACTGGCTGAAAGATTCTATGTCTCATCTAGCATATATTGTGCTATCAAATCCCAGATTATCAGGTGCAGGAGCACCTTAAAAGAACTTTCAAAAAGATTTGAAAGTCAGAAAGAATGTATTTTCTCTAGTCACTTGTTGTGGTGTCCTTGTCCCTACCATATTTTAAAAGGGGCAAAATAAATTGTCCATACAAAACCCTACATAGAATAAAGCAAAATTCATAATAAATCACCCAAAAAAGAAGTGAACAGCTTTTCTAGAATCCTGTAAACATATGTATTTGACGAAACAAGCAATGGCACATGCATCTAAATTATCTGGGAACACTAGAAATAAAAAGCAGTGAAAGAATAGGGCCTAAATAAACTTTGACTAGGTAATTCTTTCAGTGATTTTTATATAGGTCACCCAGAAAAATAAGTTGTATAAGAATGTTCAAGAAAGTATTAACTATATTTGAAAATTGCAGATGGCCAAAATGTCTAGTAATAGAATGGTAAATAAGTATATCTAAATAATAATATATTATAGAAATGTTTATAAAATGAAAATGGGAAAATTGGACCATAAAATATATAGATAGAGTGTGATACAGAAATTATATCAAATGGACATTATAAATGCCATAATTCACAAAGAACTATTTGAAAGAAGGCTAATCTTTTATAGAATTAACAGCAAAGCAGATATTAATAGATACTGTGCACAAAGGAAGGGAGTAGGTTCTTTGTTTAAACAAATTTGAAAAGCCTTGGGTTTTTTTCTTCACTTCAGGAATTCTGGGGTTTTTAGGATATTGGTGTGTGTGTCAGTCTACCTGGGGGACAGAACTAGTAATACTACCATATAATGCATAGTCCTTGGACTAAAATGGAGCACCTCTTAGGCAATATTAATTTTTACTGAATGTCCATTAATATTTCCATTACAGAAAAAAAATCACTTTAGATTGTTAAAAATAAAAACGTATACTTTTAAAAATAAACTTGATCATTAATAAAATGAACTGGGAATGCTTCTTAAACTTTTTTTAACAATTATGAATATCCAGATTGACAGGAAATTTGTAATTACTTGGTATGGATATGAACTGGAATACTCAATGCAATAGTACTTGCTATATGTCAAATGATCTTATCTAACATTTAAAATGTGTGTACACGCACTCACCCTGTATGTTCTGGTTGTTTTCTCTGTTAAAAGAAACTTTGATCTTGCCTTTCTAGGAAGTTGATTATGAACAAATGAAGAATCTTGACTTCAGTATCATTGTCACCAATAAAGCAGCTTTTCACAAGTCCATTATGAATAAATATAAGCCCACATCCATCCCCATCAAAGTAAAGGTGAAAAACGTGAAAGAAGGCATCCATTTTAGAAGCAGCACAATTTCTTTCCGTGCTAGTGAAGGAATGGATAAGTCAAGCCAAGGCTTATCGATGGGAAAATTTCAAGTTTTTGATGAAGACACTGGACAACCAGCTCAAGTAAAGTAAGATATAGTTGTGAGCTTAAATCCAAATTTTAAGTTACTTTAAGTGCCTATTTTCAAATATCTTAATGAAATCTAAGCACCTCATTCCTTTACACCCCAGAGTTGTAACTCTCCAAAGGGCTATAGATTAAATTTCCCAAAGTTGACATGAGGAGGAATTTTCACCAGAATCCCCTTCCTTTGCCCACCTGTGTGTGAGGATGAGGCTAGAATGCTCACCACAGAAGCAGCTCTGGCTATAGATGCCTAAAAAGCAATAAAGGAAAAGCTCAGAAAAAAAAAATGCTTTCTAAACTCTCCCTTATTTCTGAAGAGTCTTGAGAGGTGAGAAAGTAGCAGTTAAAATTTACCACAAAATTTATTCTACACAAATTTAGTTCAAAAAAATTTTCCTTCATATGTTTTAACGAGGAAAATCAAGTTTTATTTATACATAAATCTTAATAATTAATCTTGCTCTGAATCATTCTGTTTTGCTTCAGAGATTTGGCAGACTTTTTGTGTTTGTCTGGATGATGATGGCTTTTGCTCAGAATACATTTACTGAGCCATAGTGCCATGCCTGTACGAAAAAGGGACCTGGCTGTGTCTACTCTATAGTGACATCTTGGATTTGCATACTTTAAATTTTTCAAAGTAAATTTACTTCCTAGCTCTGAGAGCCATGCCATAGAAAAGAAAACTCTCTATGGGGCTATTATTTATGAAATTACAGGGATTCGTGTTGGATTTCAAGAATTCCCACCTGTTGCCCAGGACACACAGCTTTTGCAACTTCCTAAGTGCCAGAGCTGCTTGGTGGCTTGTCTGCTTCCGCCTATGACCCTGTGTGCCAGTGCTTCATACAACATTGTATTTAGTAGCATGGCCAACTGTAGCCAAACTGGAAATAATGGAGAAAGTTCTTCAATGATCTTTTTCCTTTGAACACATCTCCTATGGAATTCAGCCAAGTGATTATTTTTTAAAATAGTATTAAGAAACAGCATCCACTGTTTTTTACATACAGGATCTTGGTGACCATCTTTGCCTACCCTCCCCACAGGAGCCAGTCTGCCTCTGCTGACTTGGGTGGTCTAGTTTTAATTTCCCCTGCTCTGCATTGAAYAAGGCAGTCCCTAACTGAATCTACAGAAATGAGGATTCTCCGTGACATTCTTTGTGAAAATTCTCACTGCCATCTACTGAGAAGTCTGTGTTGTTCTAACTCTCTGCCAATAGTATTGTGGCTGTCTATTGAAAATTGTTTCCCACCAATCTTTTTTAAATTTGGGCTGCTATTTTTAATAAAGGCTATAAATATATTAAAAAAAAAACTATTGCTCTCCCTGTAAGAATGATGAGCTGTGCTTCTTTAACCTGCAATTACAGAACTTTAGAATGAGAAAAAAAAATCTTAAACTTCAGTTCAAACCTATTATTTTACAGAAAGAATAGGAGGCACAGCTAAGTTAAATTATCTTCCAGTGTTCACCTAAATAATTAGTAATTGCTATTTTGAGATCTTTTTTCTTCTTCTTTTTTGCACTACTGAGGGTTGAACCTAGAGCCTGGTGCATGCTGGGCGAGCACTTCGCCACTGAGCTGTATCCTCATCCCCAGCCCTTATTTTGAAATCCTAATGAGGACAGTGAAAAAATCATTGACTTTATCATACTATTCTGATAATTATTCATCTGTAGCAGTTGTTTATGGATATTTGATACAGCATGTGAGCTGCCATCCTACCTGAATGGCATCTCATTTTCACAACAGAGATCACAGAAGGCATTTCAGCGTGAAGTGTGATACTTATTACTAAGATTCTGCTTTTAAGTATGAATGAGGGAAACTGTGGATGGCAAATAGACCCCAGCTTTAAAGTTCCTCACAGGAAATTCAGAGGTACTTGTGAAAATCCAAATGAACTATCATTTACCAATAGAAATACTAAGAGGCATAAAAACGTAGTTCAAATGTATATTTGGATTTTTTAAAATATAATACATAAAAATTTTTAAACACAGTACATAAATATTGCTGTAAATTAACCACCCATTCTTGTGTGCCTAAACAACCACTTAATAGAAAATAAATCATCAATTTGATTGGTTGAGCCAAGAGACTCATGTTTAGTTTATATTTGTATTTTTATATGTTAAACTAAATGGTATTCATTATGCACATTTCTGAAAATATAGTAGGAACATTCTCCCTGCCTCCCCATAGCTGGCTCTTTTCACAGTCATTCTCTTTGCTTTGAGCAAGGAAACCCAGAAGTCATTTTGTCAGCATTGTTTCCACTTTTAACCATTCCTACCTGAAAATTATTAACAACATCCCAATGAACAGTGTAATGTAAGTCTACTTTTGTCCATCTGTCTTTTTCTGTTACTAAGTTATTCCCCAAAGGCTTAACCCAAATTTAGGAGAGATTAGATCAACAGCTACAGGACAGGCTACAGAGTAACTGACAACCTCCTGGATTATAGATATTGAAGCAGGTTTCAAGAAATTAAAGACATCCAAACAAATTTMTGTAACAAGAACATATGTGAGATGAAAATTAATTTTTAAAGAGTTGTAGAGATTCCCAATTTGTCCAGAATTTTTAAAATAATTTGGTGTTTGTTTTATAACAGATATGCCAAATTGGAAGATAAAGACAACTGGGTTTCTGTGGATCCTGTCACATCAGAAATTAAACTTGTAAAAATTCCTGATTTTGAATCTAGATATGTCCAAAATGGTACATACACTGTAAAGATTATGGCTATATCAGATGGTAAGTTATTAAATAGACATTTTTCTTGATTATGTGAATTTAGATTTTATCTTCCAGCATCAGAAACTTTTATTTTGAAAGTATATATATAAATCTATCTCTCTAAAGGATAAAGATTCATATTCCTACTTATTCAGTGACTAAAGCTAGTACTTGGCCTTGAATATGAGACATATCTGGGATAGGAAATGTCGTAAGTGGTTGGTACACTCTTTATACCAAGTTGATAAGAGAATTCAAACTGTGGTCAACAATATGATCAGAATAGAAATAATTTTTCCTTCTCTTGTTGTTCAGATTATCCTAGAAAAACCATCACTGGCACCGTCCTTATCACAGTTGAAGACATCAATGACAACTGCCCCACACTGGTGGACCCAGTGCAAAACATCTGTGAGGATGCGCCATACGTGAACGTTACTGCAGAGGACCTTGATGGATACCTGAACAGTGAGCCATTCAGCTTCTCTATCATTGATGAACCACCTGGAATGGCAGAAAAATGGAAAATAATACGACAAGAAAGTAAGCAGAATTGTTGGACTATCTTAAAATCAAAATATTAAGCATGGTAGATATTTAAAATCCTTATAGGTTGTATTTATTCTCACAATATAGATTTCCAATAAAAATGTTTAAGGGCATTTGTAAAATGAGGTTCTGAACCTACAGACATAGTATCTTTTTATGCCTATGGAAAGATGAAAATTTATATAAAATGTCTAGAATTAGTGAGGTATTCTCTGAATAGCTCTTGAAGTCTCAAAAGCTCTTCTCTGATAAGCTTTTCTAGACACAACAATCATAGTAAGTGTCTTCTATAACTCTTGAAGTATGCTAATGATAATTCCATCTAAAATAACATATATTGAAGTGGGGAATTACATTTTTTGAGCACTTACTCTGTGCCAGGTACATTACCATATTTAACCCTCAATCCATAACATTATTCCCTGATTAGAGGTGAGAAAACCTTAGCTTAACTAGAGTTCAGTAACTTATTCATAGTTAAAATGCTAGTGTGTGGTGGAGATCACATGACAAAGGGTCTGTCTTATGTTCCTCTGCCCCACACCAATGGACACACCCATGGGTCCACATCTTGGACACAGCCCTCGAGTTAACATGAGCTTTGATATCCTTTAGGGTGATCTTGCATGCCAAAAACTCTATCCAGAAAACTATTTTGTTTTAAACAATCAGTGTTCATTTCAGAAAAGTTTCAAATACAATCTGCAAGTTTTTCTTAATCTATAGGTTTGTTATGGTATTTTAAGTCTAGCAAGTGTTTATAATCATTTTAAGAGGTTTTGATTAATTTTTTGACCAGTTTACAAGTTAACATTTCAAACTTTTTATATAAACTAAGTATATTTGATTTCCTTTTTTATACATTTCAGTGATCCAAATTAACAAGTAAATCCTCCCTGTGATTTTGAACCCTAAGTTCCAATAAATTGAATTTATAAATATATTGCACCTAGAATTCTCTTCAGTATTTTCATACCAAACGAGTGACATTTCAGCCTAAAACCACAAGTCTAAGTCAGTAATGCCAATTATACATTCTAGAGTTATAATCTGTCATCCTAATAGGGTTAATTGTTCATAACATAAATACATGAAACAATGTAAATAAATTCCTGACAATACAAAAATATTAAAAGTGTCCTTAACTCGCTTCAACTTTCCTCTGTTTAATTCCAAAAGTTCGATTGATGAGCTCACCTGAAGCAGCCATGCCCTTGGTTAGCTCAGGTTGCCTTTCCACTGAGGATGAGTCACCTTTGTGGCTAGTTGAGGTTCTCTGTGACAACTTCCCAGCCAGTGAGGGCCTTGCAGTGGCAGGCGTCCAAGGTGCTTCTTCTGGTAGTTTCATCACAGACATCAAAATTTGAATTAAGTAACCAGTTCTGTACCCTAAGAGGCCTGGTACACCCCTACCCTGAATGCCTGACTGCAGCTTGTCTTTCCTTGACCAAGATATGTAAATGAGTTTTCCATTGAACTTGGAATCCCAAGACTCCTTTATTTTATCTAAGAACTTTCTTTAGTATATTCTGGGCATAGTCTTCAGCACGTTTTGCTGTTAACAACCTTAGAAATTTGGTATTACAATGGTCAACATTTTACCAGTGGGGAAACAAAGGCACAGTGAGTTTTCCTGACTTTCTTGAGGCCACAGCTAGGTTAAGACTTGGAGCTTGGAGCTCGGATTCAACCCAGGCAGTCTGGTTCCGCCTGGGTGCTGTGCTGCCTCTCCAAATCTCTAAGTGGCTTTTCTGTCTAAAAATAAACATATTTAAGCTTGATGAGTCCTTGAAATTTTTTTTTTAATAGTCGTGGGAACATAAGACTCTCAAGGAAGTGTGTTAATAGTGTTGTTACAGGAAGTCACTGAGATTATTCATTATATAACGATGTTAGAGAGAATTCTTTAACTCAGGCTTTCTTCTCCCTGATCAAATAATAAGGTGATCGACCAGTTAGCATGATACATAGCTTCTTTCTATTTTTATTTTTATTTGGGAAAATTTTTAAATATGGAAAATTCTAGAGGATTTTAAATTATATAGTCTCATACTTACTACTTAGAATTAAAAGAAATTAATGATTGATTCAGCCTTAGAGAATAATGAAATCATGTCATTTGCAGAAAAATGTATGGCAAAATAAGCCATACTCAGAAGGTCAAGGGTCTCATATGTGGAAGCTAGAAAGGAAAGGGGAAAAGAAAAGTGGAGGAGCAGGATCTCATGAATATCAAAGGGAGATCCATAGAGGAAAGGGACCAGGGGGTTAGAGGTAGGGTGCTGGGATATGAATTGGCCAAATTATATTGTTATATTGTGTACAAGTACAAATATGTAACAACAATTCCCATTGGTATGTACAACTATAATGCACCAATAAAAAATGTGGAAAAAGAAATAAGTAGAGAAGAAAAATATATTAATGAGCCAAATATAGTGGTATATCCTATAATCCCTGCTAATTGGGAGATTGAGGTAGGAGAATAGTAAGTTTGAGGCCAGCCTCAGCAACATAGCAAGACACCACCCCAAAGAAAATATTAACACTTTTTTTTATTTGTGTCACAACTTTCATTTGTCGATGATAACTAATAGAGTGGAAATCCCATCCTCCCCTCCCACATAGCCCATCAGAGCCCATCATGAATTTAGTTGTATTTTTCCAGGCCCTGTCTCCCTGAGCCCATATTTCTTAAACCAATGACTATATCCTTTCCTCATTTCCCCAGAGTTTTTGTGATGATTTATTTATTATTTATTTAGAAATATACAGATCAAATTCCATAAAACTTGGAGCTTAAAATATTTCTTACTTCAAAAACAAAGATAAAACCAAAACACTTGATTTGTATCTTTGTGTTCTCTATCATACCTTATAAGTAAATTATTCTAATAAACATTTACATATGTCAGAAAAGTTTTATGCTATTTAATTAATCATGGCTTTAATTCATGTGAAAACTGGTCATTACTTTTATTTGTGTGAAAAAAAAAATGTTAAATCATCACCAAGGCATATACTTAAAAAATAAGAGGTATTCCACAACACTTCCAGTGTTATAGTCTTCTAAAAACATAACCTGAATCCAGTCGTGAGGAAACAACCAGACAAATTCAAACTAGAACATTCTCTGAAATAAGTGGMCTATTAAATATTTCAAGGTCTTGAAAAGCCAAAGAGAGAGTGGGAAAATTCCAAATAAGCAGGGACTACAGTAATAACTAAATTCAATGTGTTAGCCTTGATTGGACCCAGGATCAAAAGAGAGAGATCTGTAGGATATTATAAAAGGATATTTTTATAATAACCAAAAAGTTTGCAAATGAGTTATATCTATTACTTAGTATTATTGTCTCAATAATAATTTTTTAAGAGCACTAATATTCCTTGGCCTTAAAAAGTTTGTGCTGAAGAATATCATGCTATTTATAACTTACCTTGAAATAGTTCTGATAGAATTTTTTGCAAAAAGTATGCATGTATATATAGAGAGAAAGCATTGATACAAAATGTAAACAGTTAGTGAAGGGTATATGTATTGGTCAACTTTTCGTCGCTGTAACCAAAATATCTGATGAGAACAACTTAGAGGAGGAAGGTTTATTTGGGCTCACAGTTTTAGAGGTCTCCGACTCCAATGCCCTGGGCCTGAGATGAGGGAGAACATCATGGCAGAAGGGTATAGTGAAGGGAAGTGCTCAACTCATGGTAGATGGAAAGCAGRGAAAGAGATTGAGGACCCAAGGACAAAATAAAATCACCAAGAACCTGTCCCCAATAACCTACTTCCTCCAGCCACACCCTACCTGCCTATAGTTACCACCTAGTTAGTCCATTTGGATTATTAGTCCATCAAATGGATTAATCAATGATTAAGTTTCAGCTCTCATAATCTTATCATTTTTGCCTCTGACCATCCCTGCTTTGTCTCATGCACAAACTTTCAGGGAATACTTCACATTTAAGCCATAACAGTATTATCAATATTGATCGGAATATTCTTGCAATTTTTCTGAAGGTTTAAAATGTTCAAAATTTCAAATACACAGTATTAAAAGCAAAAAGAAAGGAATCATAAAACATTGTTGAAAATTGTTAAAGTTGGATGGGTACCATAAGACTTATGCTTTTCTATTATTGTCTATATTTGGAAAATTGCCATAAAGTTTTTCTTAAGAAATAGTAAAATAAAGTCAGTCAGTGAAAATGTTGAACTCCTCCCTTGTTCATCACTGTATTCCTCATATTTGATACACCACATACATTTATTAAAATTAATCATCACAAAAATAAAGTGTCCAATCTTTGCTACTGAACAGTATTGGAGGACTGTGAACAGACTTTATGGAGCTCACAGCATGAATTCAATGAGAAGTTAAGGAAAAATAAGGTTTCTAAGTGGAGCTAAATAAAGAACATTCTTTCCGTGATTTAATTTCTCCCTTTCCTTAGTAATCACCTGCTTCTATTTCTCCCTGGTTCTTACCCTTGAAGGTACCAGTGTGCTGCTGCAACAAAGCGAACAGAAGCTGGGCAAGAGTGAGATTCAGTTCCTGATTTCAGACAGTCAAGGCTTGAGTTGTCCTGAGAAGCAGATCCTTAAGCTCACCGTCTGTGAATGTCTGCATGGCAGCGGCTGCGTGGAAGCCCAGCATGACTCCTACGTGGGCCTGGGACCCGCAGCAGTGGCGCTCATGATTTTGGCCCTTCTACTCTTGCTACGTAAGCCTTAAAAGCCATTCCCTAGCTCTGTTAGTAATTTGAGTGTCCACTAGTGGTTTGTTACTGTAGTAGTCCTTGATGTCTCTACAGGTGTTCTTCAACCATCCTAGAACACTTCTGAGGGTAAATAGGGAAATGACCACTGGTGATTGATAAACTCACCAAAACTTATTGCAGGACTCATTTCAGACTTAACTTGCCAGAGCTCTGCCTCCCATGATCCCCTCTGCTTAGCTTGCTTCTTCACCAGTACCAATGGTAGCCAGACCTGCAAGCATTTAACTACATCCCAACAATGATAGGCTGTTCTCAACCACTCCTGCCCGCTCTGTCTACGCTCCAAAACCCTTGGGTTTCCTTTCATGAAAGAATAAAGGACTGCCAATTAAGGTCATGGAGTCCCACTCCATTTGACCTCTGAACTCAGGCAGACCACCAGTTCCAAGGCTATCTCAGAGGGAGAGGAGGAGCCTGAGAAAGCCATTAGTAGATGTCCAGTTGAATGCACAGCTCAACAGTTTACAGTGTACCTTATTTCCATTATCTCCATGTTGTGGGTAATCACAAATACAGACGCAATAGTATAAGTGACTTGTCTCAGTTTACCAAGTGCGTGGGTAGGTCCTGGAGCTGGGACTGCCTGCTGTATGTAGGGATTCCTTGCACTGCCTCTCATCTCAGATTCTCTGGAGCCTAATGTGGTACTTGACACATGACAGATACTCAATATTTATCGAATGTACTGAAACTGTTGAATCACTGCTGGTTGATTTTCATCTCTATATTAAGCATAGTAGCTATAGTCTGTAGTTGCAATGCTGTCAGTTATTTTAGATGAGAAGGAATCTAGGAAGTATTCAGTTCGTCAAACTGCCAAATGGGTATGACAGTAAAATCAAATGAAACCCATTGACCAATTAACCCACACTGCTTGCAGATGTGGTTAATTCTATACTGCATTGACCAGAGAGCAAATCCCAGCTGGTCTTTGTTTCCTCATAAAGGCAGAATAAAACATAAGGGGACTGGGGATATAGCTCGGTTGGTAGAGTGCTTGCCTAACATTCACAAAGCCCTGGGTTCAATCCCTAGCACCACACCAAAAAAAAAAAAAGTATTATATTGAATGCTAGATAAAATGTGGGTGTATACATAGATATGCACATTTTAATGTAGAATCATTTTAGAAAACAGTACTTAGGCTAATTTGAAGGTTAATTGAGACCTCAGACAATCATGAGTTGTGTAAAAAAAACTTTGTTAAGTATTATAGCAGTTTTAGTGTTTTTATATTTTTCTACTAAAATTTTTTCACTTCTAAGCCCTTTTTTAATACATTCTATTTTGGACAATAAATTTACTAAAAAAAATTGGACAATGGTTTAAAATTTTTTTCATCTTTAAATTGGTTTTGCAACTTTGGGTACTGTCTCATCCAGTCTCAATGTTCCCCCCAGTAACCACTGCAAGTCTCTTTGTAATGAACAGGCTTGGAGTATGTGACCCTCTCCTTCTGCCTCAAGCTTTGATGTTACTTACCCAAAACAAGATTGGGGAGATTGAATCAGGGTGAAGGAAAGAAAAATAGGGCTATGAATAAGTAAAGACTAAACTTACAGAAGTGAGATGCAAATTCCAAAATCGTACCATTTAAGCTTAGAAATCACATCTGCAATTTAAGATCTCTACTCTATTTTGCTTCTGCACAGTTGTGCCACTTCTGCTGCTGATGTGCCATTGTGGAGAGGGCGCCAAAGGCTTTACGCCCATACCTGGGACTATAGAGATGCTGCACCCTTGGAATAATGAAGGGGCGCCACCTGAAGACAAGGTCAGTTCATCAGATACTGATACTCCTTGTCATCTTTTCTGATTTTAAAGGGGCCTTAGGTGATGGGGAATGTTTCTAACATTTTTGGTCATGAGAGTAATGTAGTTGGGATGTTGTAAAATATATGTTTGGTGTTCATCCCCATTCCCTGGCATACAACTCCTAAAAACCTTGGCATCTCCTAAGTGATAGCGTCTAGACATATGAAAGCGTCTAGACATATGAAAGCGGCAGTGAAGTCTGGGTGTCTTGGGAACTGCCCTCAACCTGTGAAATCTGACACTATCTCCAGGTAGATTGGGTCAGAATTATATTGACTTAGAGGCCACGCAGCTGRTGCCTGCTGCAGAATTGATTGCTTGTTTGCTAGTAGGGAGAAATCTCCACATCTTTTGAGGTCACAGAAGTTTGTGTTGGCCATTGTGGTGAGAGAGTACAAGAGTGGTTTGGTTTTCACTAAAGATTTCACACATTGGGCTTTGTTAAACAAAGAGTTCAAAGGACAGCGTACTTGGGGTTGGTTGCCAGGGCGGAGTTGAGGTGGTTTTACTGCACTGTGATGTATCCTGTGCTAATAAGAATGTAGACCGTGCATCAGGCAGTGACCCAGAGAATGTGGAGCAGGGGTCCCAATATTAAATGGTTAGTCTTTCTCAACCAAGAACTGCTCTGCTTCCATCCCCCTCCATACAGCTGACACAGAGATAAACCTCCAACCCCTATGACAGTTGTAAAATGCTGTGAAGTCCCCTTTTCCTAATTATTTAGTAGCCATCTCTTTGATCTCTCTGTTGCATCTTCACCCTGGGTCTCTCTGCATCTGCCTTGAGCTCCATTTCCAACAGGATATGATTCAGCATCGATGTCAGTGTTTAGTGAATTCAAACAATGGTTCCTTAGACATATGTGTGGGCACGTCAGGATCAACATGATAATCCCACAGCACGTAGCCTCAGGTGCCTTCTTTTTTGGAACTTATCCCTCCATGGATGAGTTCCATTCCCACACTTTCCTTGTGTTCCAGACACTAGCTACTGTCCTCACATCCTAACTAGCATGTGGGAGAAGAGTGAAGAATCGCTCTGTAAGTGCTTTTCCCAGAAGTTGCCTACACCATTTCTGCTTGACTCACATCAACCAGATCTCAGGTGGCTACGCCTAGTAGCAGCAAGGCTTGGAAGCAGTCCTTATCCATCCAACTAAAAATAAAATTAAGTGTTCTATAACTGCAGCAGAAGTCATCAAACCCTAGAGGAAAATTGAAATGTCATCGGTGCCAGTCGATGAGTGAGATGAAACCATACAGGAAAGTTTGGGTTTTGTTCCTCCTTTGATTGTAATCACTTATGAAATATAAGAAGGTAGAATGGAGATATCTATAAGACTCAGATTTTAAAAAATAGAATAAAATGAGGATGATAATGCCTATCTCAAAAAAAAAAAAAAGACTCAAGTAGAAGTTATTTAGCCCAAAATATTTTTCCTGATTAGCTTCTGAGGAAATAGTTTATCCCTCCTTATGCCCACTTAGCTCAGACGCTTCTGTCTACCATATGGACTCTCCATCCTTCTGACTCAGTCCCCATCGGTATTTGCTCACAGGTGGTGCCAACCCTGCTGGCAGTGGATCATGCAGAGAATTCAGCAGTAAGAAATGGAATAGGAGGTACAATGGCCAAAGAAGCCACCATGAAAGGAAGTAGCTCTGCTTCCTTTACCAAAACACAGCATAATTTGTCGGCGATGGATGGAAGATGGGAAGAACATAGAAGCCTCCTTTCTAGTGGGGCAACCCAGATTATGGGGACAACAGGAGGCATGGTGGGTGGTGCTGAAACCATGAGGACCACAAGAGCCACAGGCGCTTCCGGAAACATGGCTGGAGCTCGAGCAGGTGCTGTGGCAGCGAATGAGGAGTACTTAAGAAATTATTTCACTGAGGTAAGGATGGGTTTTTATGTATAGGAAAAAAATAATTAAGAAAGGAATATGGTTTTAGGGTACTCATTGCCAAGAATCTAAATGGGATTTGGGGGTTTTTCTGTTTGGTTGTTTTTAGGTCATGTTCATAGGCAATGAGAAAAAGAGGAATGATACTCATTGAATTAGTCAGTATTAGCTCAACTATGCTGTGATAACAAATGATCCCACATCTTCTAAGTTCTCCCAAAGACCTTTTTCTCACTTATGTTCATATCTTGGCTAGTCAGCTCAGCTCTGCTCTGCTCCATGTTGGCTTCATTTCAGTTTGCATGCAAAATAGCAGATGGTATCTGAGAAGCTGCCATCGTTGTGACACAGGGAAAAGAGTAATGGCAGAAGCAGGTTATGACAACATAAAGCCTTCAGCTTTCTTTACACTTGCATTTCATTGGTCAGAGCAAATCACACAGTCATACTAAATGTTAGTGGGTCAGAAAGCACAACCCTAGGCCTGAATCCAGGAGGGAGGGCCAGAGAATACCTGATCTAAAAAACACAAGCTGTTAAGTCTGCTCAGATTTTACCTGCTGTACTGTTAGGAGAATTCATTATAAAAATGATGAGGAAAGTTATAGCAAAGATGATCAAATGCTCATGGGGCTGGAGATGTAGCTCAGTTGGTACATCTTGCCTAGCATGTGCAAAGCCCTGGGTTCAATCCCCAGAACCACCAAAAACCAAAGAACAACATCCAGAGAAGCTCATGCCTAGAATTAGGAATTAGAAGATAAAAGTGTTTGAAACAAAGTGTATTTCAGAACATATTCTATTACTAGGGACTATTGGGGATATTTATTCCATAATGGAAAATGGATCAGTTCATCTGGAGGCCTAATGCCTCTAAAATAGGTCAGTATCTAATAACAAAAATTTGAAATGCAGTGAAACCAGAAGAGAAACACACAAGTCCATAATTATAGCTGGAGAGTTCAACTTAACCCATCAGTGATTGAAAGAACAAGTCCACAAGATCAGCAAGGAAGGGCTGAGGATGTAGCTTTGTGGTAATGCATTGGCCTAGTATGCATGAGACCCTGGGATATAGAAAACCTAACAACATTATCAACTGGCTCCAGAAATAGCATGGTTTCTGGAGCAGGGGTCTCTGGCCCTCTGCCAAATTTTGGCTGGAGCTACTTGGCATCAGTAGAACACTCAATGACACAAAAGTAGAATACACATCCCTTTTGACATAGATACAAAATAAATTTTTTTTACATAAAATAAGTTCTGTTCTGTGATATAGAGTAAGTTTTAATAGATTTAATAGAATTGCAATCAGGCAGAGTACTTTGCCACTCACAAACCAAAGATAATAACAAAGTAGTGTATAAAATATACCCAAATATTTGTAAGTCACATATTTCCAAATAACCCATGGGTAAACAAAGGAAATTTTTTTTTTAAAAAAAGGAGCAGTTAGTATAAAGTTGAAACTGTGTACTCTGATGTTTGTGTTTCTCTGATATTTCCTTTATAATCAGACTTAAGATTTGGCATTTATGAGCAGAAATAATAGTCATCGCTGATGACTTGTCTCTATTATTATATCCATTTTAGAAAGTGGCTTCCTACACTGAGGAAGATGACGTTCACATGGCCAAGGACTGCCTTCTGGTTTATTCTCAGGAGGAAACGGAATCTCTACATGGCTCCATCGGCTGCTGCAGCTTTATTGAAGGAGAGCTAGATGACCGCTTCTTAGATGACTTGGGACTTAAATTCAAGACACTCGCTGAAGTTTGCTTGGGTCAAAAGATAGATATGGATATGGAAATAGAGCAGAGGCAAAAACCTGTCAAAGACACAAGTATGAATACAGCTCCACGGTCACTCAATGACCAAACTGTGGTGAACTCAGAGACTTCCTACTCCTCTGGCAGCAGCTTCCAAGTTCCAAAATCTCTGCATGAAGCAAATGCAGAAAAAGTAACTCAGGAAATAGTCACCGAAAGATCTGTATCTTCCAGGCAGGGTCAAAAGGTAGCACCACCTCTTGCTGAGCCCTTGCCTTCTGGTAATATCATAATGACAGAAACGTCCTATGCCACGGGCTCCTCTATACCACCAAGCACTGTGACCCTGGGTCCTAGACAGCCCCAGAACCTCATTGTGACCGAGAGGGTATATGCTCCAGCTTCCACCTTGGTGGATCAGCATTATGCTAATGAGGGTAGTGTCATGGTAACTGAAAGAGTAATTCAGCCCAACGGAGGTGTCCCTAATCCTCTGGAGGGTACCCAGCATCTGCAAGATGCACAGTATGTTATGGTGAGGGAGAGAGAGAGAGTCCTTGCCCCCAGCTCAGGGGTGCAATCCACTCTGGTTGTGCCCAATGTGGCAGTAGGACAGAACGTGACAGTGACTGAAAGAGTGCTAACACCTGCTTCTACTCTGCAATCCAGTCACCAAATTCCCATTGAAACCTCTATGAAGGCCAGAAATGTGGTTTCTGGTGCAGGGGTCTCTGACCCTCTGTCGAATTTTGGTTTAGAGGAAACTGGTCATTCTAATTCTACCATCACCACATCTTCCACCAGGGTCACCAAGCATAGCACTGTGCAACATTCATACTCTTAAGCTGCCACCAGCCACAGACTGACCCAGAGCTTAGCCATCAGGAATTGGCTCTAAGGTTTCCTTGTCCCTGGTCTTTTGTAAACCTTTCAGACATGCAGAGACATGTATGCATTGAGCTTAAAGTTTTTCTCTGCTTTCATGGGTTATATTTCAGAGTTGCCCTGTGATTTACTGAGGACATAGTGATGATGCTATTTCTGAAGTGCCTTTTAGTGAGTTATACAAACAATATTTGTAAAACAAAAACAGAGGAAATGTGGCTTCTGAGAATTTACCAAATTAACATGAAGTATCCAGTTCATCAGCCGTCCAGCAGAGCAACCCAAGAAACTGTCAGGGTCTCATGACATGGAATGTTGCCCATTCTCTTGCCAATGACTACACCTTACAGATTATTAGCAGCTCATTTTTCCAAAAATACATCAATAGTCTGGGCTACCAATTTTATTGTTGGTTTTCTTTAAGACTGGAACCCTTTAAATTGTGTAAAAATGTTGAAATTCTAGAATACTGACATGGGAAGAACACACATTATTGTTTGTGTACATGACACGCCTGCACATGTGTATCATGGTCTTAAAAATGGCATGTGCCTTCTTGTCTCTCAACAATCATGACTTTTTTGAATGCTTCATATTCAGTTTAAAATCTAGGAAAAATTTATAAATATAAGATAATTTTACTTATTATAATAATTAAATGCTTTGGAAAAAAAACTCAGGATATATTATCTTCTTACTAGTCACAATATAGTGCAGCTAAACTCACCAGCTACTATAGTAGGAATAGTGCCTGGTTCGTGGCCTTATGTCCTCAGTGCCTAGCATGGATGTCAAATAAATATTTGTGGGATTAAATTGAATTTTAAAAACCATTCTCTTTTATATTCAGTTGCCCAAGACATCAAAAGACCCTAGGATCCTATAATTATAATTTCAAATTATGATTCAATTCTGATGTCCCAAAGCTATTGACTGGTCATGACTTAGTACATGAGTAGTAAATATTGCATTTGAAAATAATAATAAAAACGGGCCTGATTTGGGTTGTTTGGCTCCTGAGTTGTATTTTATTGCTCCTAGAAATGTTTCAAAATACATTTACATGTCAGTAATAATTTGTATATCTATTTCCAATAACAAAGTAATTTTCTTAACTTTTCTAGACTAATTTCTGGACATTTAAGATATTTTGCTAGGAAAATGAAACTTTCTTTTGGCAGTACTGGGGGTCAAATTGAAAGCCTCATATGTTAGGCAAACACTGTACTGTCAAGTTATGCCCCAAACCCCGGAATTGAAATGTTTTATAGACATTTTTTAAAATATTCTTTACTTGAATTGTATTATGAAAGGAATATACAATGTGTTCCACTAAATGTATATAGTAAGGGCATATATTTTAGAGATCATAAGCTGTGGCTAAGATGAAGTCCACACTTCTTCCATGATCTAGAATTGTTTTCTCTCCAGTTGCTAATTTTTCTGTTTTGTTTTGTTTTTATTGTAGTCTTAGTTGTATTTTGCCAAATATGCAGCAGGAGTATCCTTGCTGTGTGAAAATATAGATATGACCTATGTCCCTAGAACAAACAAAACTTGATCTTAGGCCTCCTGGGGCAGGTGTGGAAAACAAACCTGTCGTGTGTGTATATATAACATAATCACATGTTCTAAACGGTTTTCTTTGTTCCTAAAAAAGGTACTTTGCATTAGTTTTTGCATTTGTTCCTTGGTAGATTATATTTGTATGTGTATTATCATAAAATATTTAAATAAAAAGACTACTTTAAAGGGACTTTTCTCCACATCTTCTATATGCTTATAAAATAGGGGTTTTAGAGGAGAGCACACCCCAAAGACAGATGTTTCTTAGTCTTTATTATTTAATTAGATCCACTTGCAACCAGTGCAATAAGCCTCTTTAGAAGAGCATTATTTCTTTCTTTCTTCCTTCCATTTTTTTTTTTTTTTTTTTTTTTTTTTTTTTTT